ACAAATCCTCAACTTACAAATCCTCAACTTACAAATCCTCAACTTACAAATCCTCAACTTACATCTCTCTCAATCTACGATCTTAACATTATTTAATTCAATCCAAAATTCTCAATTTACAAATCCTCAACTTACAAATCCTCAAATTATAAATCTCTCAATCTACGATCTCCAAAGTTATCCAATTCAATCCAAAATCCTCAACTTACATCTCTCTCAATCTACGACTTTATCCAATCTTATCCAATTCAATCCAAAATCCTCAACTTACATCTCTCTCAATCTACGACTTTATCCAATCTTATCCAATTCAATCTAAAATCCTCAACTTAAATATTTCTCAATCTACGACCTTATCCAATCTTATCCAATTCAATTGATAAATCCTCAACTTATAAATCTCTCAATCTACGATCTCCAACGTTATCCAATTCAATCGAAAATCCTCAACTTACAAATCCTCAACTTACAAACCCCTCAATCTACGATCTCCAACGTTATCCAAAAATCTGAAATCTGCCAAACGAAATGAAAAGCTTGGACAAGAATATAGAACCTAAAACTAATAGAAAATTTAAATTTAGTAAAATAGAAAATTTACCCTCTCCAAAAGGGTAAATCGAAGCAAATTGTCAAATCGCAGGAGTCGAGGAGGCAAACACCCATCATCGCCACCCTTAATCCAGAGGACAAAGCGCAAATCCACGCGTGGAATCGCGGTGCTGCGATGCGGAAGGACGACGACAAACCGGCGGTGGATTTGATTCAGACACATGCCAGAGCAATTACGGGTGCACGCCTCACTCAGAGAGACGTCTTCTTTCGCGCGACCCCTTACAAGGCATAAAATGTAGCGGTTGGGGAGGGGGTGGAGTCCCGCCTTTGTGCAGACTCGCGGTGGCGTTGAAGCCGACAAAAGATAAGCCGTTATTTATAACCGGGCTTAAGGCCTACCACAGGGGGTGGTTTTTACGGAAAATAAAATAACTCCGCGACTCTCCGATCCAAAGTGTTTAAATCAACCTTCCTTCCTTATTTTTCTTCTTCCTGTTCTTTTTTTCCATTATCGAAGATTTTTCTCCCCCCCTCCCTCTCTTTTTTTTTTTTAATTTTTCATCCCGGTTAGAAAATTGAAAATTATTTATTTATTTATTATTATTTATTATTAAATTGAATTAGAAAATTGAAAATTGTATAATGTATATATATATATTTGTAATATTTTCTTCAGGAAAATTATTTTTTCTTTAGTCGAGATTCGTATCGAGTTTCCATTCCATTCGAAGAATTATTTCTCTGATAGTCACAATATTTATTTCAAATATAGAGAATTACAAGAGTTGTTTTGATTAAAAGCTTTCGAATTCTTTTTTCATATATTTTATTCTATTCTGTATTGTTAAAATGGTTAGAAAATTGAAAAAATATAGTTAAGTATTTATAACATTTTGTAGGCTAGAAATTATTATTATATTTATAAAATTTTTCTTCGAATTCTTTTTTCAT